CAATTATTAGACGACCGTGCCTTGCATTATTACCCTGACCTCTCGACTTTAAAGCATCCTCTCTCGGCTATAAATAGCCCTCTCCCCGTAAACTCTCTCACAATTCCCTCTCAACCGAGAAATTAATACAACAATCCTTTCAACCAGTAAATAACACCCGACAATCCTCTTTTATTTAATTCAGAAGTTCGTTCGATCTTTCGTTATAAGGTAACTTTGTTATAATATTTTTTTTATTATACTTATTGTTTATTATGATTATTTGAAAAAATATTATAGTAATTGTTTTCAATTAATTTCTGTGACAGTTCAAGGGGAAAGTGGGAACATACGTCGAAATATTTTTGCGGTGCATGTAATAATATAAAATTATATTATTTAAATTATTTGTATTTATGTGTAAAAAATTTATTGTGTTATATTTTCGTTCATATATTATTTATTTAATCAGGTTTGTTTCAGTTGTTTTTTTGCATATATAATATTGTCGCACTTTTAAACTCTAAGAATGACGTGACTTTCAGCTATTGTTTATTATGATGGAGAAATTCGAGAAGATGAAACTGGTGTTGTTTTCATATCAAATGAGCGTGTTAAAATATCATTCAAGAGAAACATAACTCTTGAAGAGCTGATAACGAAGATTTCGAGGAAGGTTCATGTTGGAAGTAGTAGAAGAATGTCGTCGTTGCAGTACATATTTCCAACATCATTGTTGTCATTAACTTATACAACGTTCGAACTATCGAACAATGATGATGTTGAAATGATGGCTGATTCTCAAAGTAATTATTCAGACGACGATATTGAGATGTATGCAAAGTTTGTTCAAGTGTGTGTTGTTCGGGGTCAGTCATTAAGCTCCCACTATGGGCTGGCTGAACAAGTTGATCAAGTTGACAGCCCGACTACAGTAATGTGTAATGATTTTAACGCCATAATGGAAAATTCGCATCATAGTGCCGTCACATCAACTTCAATGGGGAGACATTCATCCGCAACTTGAAAAAACTAAATATTTTCGTTTGGGGCGCTTTTTGCGAAGCTCGGGGGACAAGCTCAAACCTGGATGCAAGGCGGTCATGTCTATCACCCTAGATTAGTTGCAGAGATACAAAAAAATTGTTGCATCAAATGGAATGTTTGTAACAAGCTTCTCTAGAAGACATGAAATGTTTCATGTCACATAGTTGCTGCGACCTCTTCAAGGGATTGAAGCTGTGTCGTTAAGAGTAAATCTACGGGACAGAACGTGCAACTACGAGTTTTTTCAAGCTCTGAAGTATTCATGCTCTCAAAAGATAGCAGCTTGCTCGCATACACGTAAAGACTATAACTGTTTTGTGGATCCCGTATACCTACTATCTGAAGTTTTTAAGGTATACGAATTTGAGTTCTCCCTTATAGGTAATGACAAAGACCCTGATGAGGTTCAGGATTGGCTTCCGATTGTACCAAATCCAACTTTATTGAGGGAGCGTAGTCGTCCAAAATCAAATCGAATTCATTGTGATATGGATATTCGAGAAAGATATAGACAAGACAGAAGATGTGGGCATTGTAGAAACCCAGGACATACTAGAAAAACATGTTCACTTCTGTTGTCATAAAGTAACAATTGATGAGGAACTGATGTAATTGTTTATAAAATAAGAATTCATGTACTTTAATTTGCATTTACTTCAAGTTAATGTCATTCGATCTTATAATAAATGACAAACTGAAGAAAGTTATCGAACTCAATTATTAAATTTTATCAAAACAATAACAATTTGATATTTAAATATAATTTTAAATACAACAAACTTACAATAAGTATTAAATGTTAAATGATAAACAAATTACAATAACTGATATTGAAATGGTAATAAACAAAATTAACCAAAATACATTAACAAAAAGTCCAACAAATTTAACAAAATAAATTAAAATAAATCCAACAAAATTAATGAAATAAAGTAAGTATTAAATGATAAATAAAAAAAATTACAATAAAAAAGTCCAATAAACAACTAAATACAAATATAATAAAAAAATAAAATCTATCGATGTATGCGACGCGAATGTGTTCCGCAGGGCGGTGGCTGTCGGTCTCGATGAGGATTTCTTCGTATTAGTGGTTGTGACTCCTCGCTGTCATCATCATCACCGTCGTCGTCGTCGTCGTCCTGAGCAACTACATTAGGTTGATAAGGAGTTGATGACGATGAAGCACCTATATAGAATAAGGACCATGGAGGTGATGATTGACTATCCCACCGGCCTGCGAAAACTGGGAAAACTCATAAAACCCAGACATCTCTGAGTGTGAAAATTGTACAGGATGTGTCTGTGCTGCGGCTGAACCTGCCAAAATGTGAGCATATGAACCCCAAGTCGAATCTCCAAACATAGACCCATAATATCCTCCAGGAGGGGTCATAAAACTCTGTGACGGTGACGGTGGCGGGGTCATAAAATCAGGTGACGGTGGCGACGGCGGCATCGGGTAAGGGAACGACAGTGGCTACATCACATATAGTTGCGGTATGTAAGTCGCTATTGACGGTGGCTGCTGTAAAGGTCATGCTGGTGTAGCTGAGGATGAACCGAAAGCACATGCTCTCCGCCCACGAGTTAGGGGACGATGGTGATGTGTCGGTGAACGTCTCTATCGACGTCGCTGAAAGGTATGCCCTCGTGCATCATCAGAAAGCAGAAACGGTTTTCCGTTACTGTTGAACCACTCATAATAACCCTCAGCAACCATCAAGAGGTCAATAAAAATAGGCTCTCTACGGAGAAGGCGCCGATGTCGATCCTCCCACAACACGACCCACTCATGATGCCTCACCAGCCAATCTGTATCGGTCTTGCCGCGTCTATCTGTGCTATGCAACTCGTCCATATTGCGAGGTACTTCCGGAATTGGTTGAAAACAATCAAATTGCCGGAGCACGCGATCAGTGGAGTGCCACTCGATGATCACATAACAGATCAAAAGGACTATCGTCATCCAAACATTTAATGGGCCCCTTAACTAAGGTGGGATCACCATCCTCACATCATCGTTAGAATATGTCACACATTTAAACTAAAACAAATATATATTTTTATCAAAATAATAATCTAATTATACAACTATAATCTAAAATCGATTTTTAAACATTAAAATGCATACTTGTGTGCCAGCATTCTGATCGATTAGCACCCTAATTTTTTCTAAATCATCAGGTAGCTCCAAATGATTTTTCCTATCAGTAGTCCACCTATTCAAGGAAAATAAAATTTATTATACACTATATAAAATGATTAATATACGAAATCAGTTTTATAATTACCTCAATAGTAGCGGAAATACGAATGGGTTCTTGACAACGGGACATAAAAAGGGCAATCGATACCATGCCCAAGACTGCAGCAGCAGGAGACATCCGCCGATAGCATTTTTCTTATAGTTAGTGGCTCGACACATCTCTCTGTACAGGAAAGCCAAAACTGTCGAGCTCCAATTGAGTGATTCGGCCAGATGAAAATCGCCAAGATGTCGCAACCACATACAGTGAACTTTGTTGCGTGATTTGTCCGGCATCAGCAACCATCCTATCAGCTGCAGTATGCATGCCCGTGCATACATTTTAATTTCATCATCAGAGGCGTCCTCGCTCAACTCCCGAAAATTGGCATCTAACTAATTTAACGGTATCCGACCACCGTTAAAACTTTCCGGGACACGTCCTAGATAGTCCGGGTACAAAGTAGTCCCGGCACAAAGCAGTCCATGAACCGTGCGCCATCCCCGATATCACATCTCCATCCACCGAAAGCCCCAGGTGCATAGAAACATCATCAAGTGTAATCGTGCACTCTCCGCACGGAAGATGGAATGTGTGGGTCTCCGGCCTCCACCGCTCCACTAAGGCAGAAATAAGGTCTGGTTCTATCTTACAGTGACCCTCATATCTACCTATATGATCGAATCCAACCTCTACTAAATACGACAAGACACGACTAGGTATCACTAACTCAAGGTTCATATAAAAGGATCTAATATACGGTCCCTCTCCTAAAATTAAATACTTACAAAAATTAATTTTTAAACTAATAATCATGCATTAAATAAATAAATAAATTATTACTAATAATTTAAATTATATTAAAACGTTAAAATATTACCGTATCAGTAAAATATCGCGATATTTGATTTCCATCCAAGCGAAGCAGACCTCCTTCTATTTTATATATGCAAAAAATTAATTAAATAAAATATTAAAAAATTTAAATACTTAAATAAATTAAAACAAAATATTAAATATAATAAAATATACTTTAAACAGTTAAAATAGAATATAAGAGTATTTGAGAGAAGTTGAGAGGATTTTGTGTGATGAAAATGATTGAGAATGAGGGTATTTATAGAGAGGGGGTGAGGTGTGAAAGGCTAGGATAGGTGGGTAATTAAACCTAAGACGCACTGCAGAGGGTGCGCTACAGGAGGCTCGCCTTTTTGAGGTGTGTCAACATTAAAGGTAAAATGCAACCCCTGCCCCGCGATATACCTTACGTGACGCCAGTTCAACGTAAAACGCGCTGCAGGGGGCGCGCCTTGCTGCAAAGGGTATTAGATCGAGAAAAATAGTCTAAAAGTGCCTTACAGGGAATAATATAGGGTATAAGTAATATTTCGGAAAAAACGCTTAATATATATATATATATATATATATATATATATGAATTATTTTATATAAATTTTTTATTATATTTATATTAGTGTAACCTATAAAAAGTTTTAGATTTGCTGCTCTGTATTTTTTTTTCTCACTGTATTTTTTTTCTCAAATAAAATTTTCCTTTAATAAAAGAAAGGTTAAGTTACCCTCACGTGACGATAACCATTAATCACCATAATTGCTAGTAAAAGAACCTTGGGCCAATAGAATAGCACAGCTTTCGTGAGATATAGTGTAGCTATGAAAAATGTAACCACCCAAATTAAACCCTTTTCCAGTTGGAAGCTGTGATGGGCGAAGAAAATAGAATTGGCAGTTGGGTCATCTCTACTAAAGTAAAATTAAACTCATATTTACATCATCCTAATGACGATCACCGAGGTGCAATAGAAGGAATAGCACCACTGACTAGATCACTTCCCGATACACTGGATGACGAAACATATGCCTCCCTATTGGTGCCTCCATACGATGAGGGCTCCGTCAGTGACTTGCCTGAATATAAATCCGTTGATGAAGAAATCAAATCAGTTTGAGGCATCATTTTGAGTATGTATTCTAGCTGCCTCACCACTTCCAACATGGATGGTCGCTTCTCTGGATTGTTGTCGCTGCAACTCAGGGCTAAACCAACCGATCTCTCCATACATTCGGATGGATACCAACCCATTCTACTGTCTATTATAGATAACACCGTACCTGACTCATGCGCTGTTTTCACCTGAGTTTTGTAAACACTAGCTTTCACATACACAACAACAAAAATTGTAAATCATGGCGTTTGCAGCTAATGGAAGTACCTCGCGGACAATGTTTTTGCCATGCCAGATTGGTTGCCTACCCGTCAACAGCTCCAGGAAAACAACTCCAAGGCTGTATACATCACTTTTGTCGGTCAACTTATGGGTCAGAAAGTATTCTGGATCAAGGTAACCCTGCAGCCAACAACAAAGCACTCAACTAAAACTCAGTCATGCAGTATTAATTACCACTAATACGTACAAGTTCATCTCTAAAACAAGGGGATTCAAAGTTCTCCTGGAAGAGTAACGTCAACTACACTGAAGTTCCTTCATCCCACAATTTAATAAGTCTTACTCTTACATGCTAAATATGGCTAAACTCACCGGTGTTCCCTTCACAATTGTGGAAACGTGATTTGGCACAGCCCCTTCTTCATCCAGGACTGGAGCTAACCGTGAGATACCGAAATCAGAAATTTTTGCATTAAGGTTGGAGTCCAGAAGAATGTTGCTGGCTTTGATATCTCGGTGGAATACTGGAGGATTTGCTTCAGTGTGGAGGTAAAGGATTCCTTTGGCTGAACCCAGTGCAATTTGTAATCTCATTCCAAAATTCAGGTTCCTTTTAGCTTTAGCTGCATACCATGATTTACATCAATTTTATGATAAAACGTTACAAGCAACGATATTTACCCAGGACCACAACGTTACCAGCCTTATGAGCTAGCTCAAACTAAGTAAAGCAATGAGTCCGGAAAATTTCATACCAGAAAGCCAGTCCCTCAATGTGCCATTGGGCATGAACTCATACACCAACATCTACAAATTCACCAATAACCAAAGCATATGAATTATATCTCTAACTGAGTCATCCCTTATACATTTATACATAAAAACAGATGAATGCCTTCCATGGGCTTTTCAAAACCACTTTCATAAGGACAGAACAAATGCACATGCAGACCCGACACACATAATTGACATAATGCAGGTGCTTATCGATTAGGACCAGAAGAACAGACCTGCTCCCCTTCTTCATCACAGTATCCAACCAGAGAAACCAGGTTTCGATGATGCAACCTTGACAAAAGCTTTATCTCCGTCAAAAATTCTTTTTGGCCCTGCAATGATCCTTCTTCTGCACGTTTTATGGCAACGACTGTTTTGTCAAAAAAACTGCCTTTATACACTTTTCCGTATCCACCTTGTCCAACTTGAGTTGAAAAGTTGTCAGTAGCAACTACCATCTCTTTAAATGTAAAGTCCCTCACTCCTTCAATTTTCATAGAAGCCTTTGTAGCTGTAAAGTGTATTAAGAAATTTACTCTTTTTATGGCGATAAATGGAGGCTTTATATTTGGATATAAAGAATCTTACATAAGCGTTTTCTTGACATTGCGCGGTGGTGTCTGGCATGTCTTCTTGTTATTAAAACTGTTACAATAACTGACATCACAACTGCAAAGGCAACACCCCCTACTACAACTGCTACCAATGTACCCTTACTAATACCCTCATTTTCATTGCCAAAGTCAACTACAGCATTAACAGATCAAACAATGTTAGTAGTAAAACTCAGCTTCTCAATAACTAGTTCAACCATGTCACTGTTATAAGAAAGCATATTTTCCATCAAGTATAAAAAGAATTGCAAAATGAAATACATACTATGTGCATAAGGTCCAAGTAGAGTGAAGTGAAGCAACTCATATGGTCCAAAGAAGTCGCTACCAGGAAAATGCCATGATGCATATATGTCTCTGATTCTTCGAACTTCACCATCATCAAAAGTATTTGAATGGTTGATCACATTAGGAAAAAGTTTCAAATTCATCCTTAGACGTCGTCCTTCCCAAAAGTATGTATCAATTGACAGTTGATAGAGGCTGAAGTTCAAATAACCAGTCAAGTACTTCTCAAAAGACTGGATAAATGGATGAAAATAATAAAAACTGGGGCTTTTGAGACGATATCCGATTCTAAGAGGAGCGGCACAGGCACATGGAATGGGAGATGCTGGGACATATTCATAGGACATCTCTGCAGGGCATGATTGCTTTGGGCATCCCACTTCTGAGTTATTTAAGCCCGCACGCATTTCCCCCTCTCCAGATGCTGATCCACAGAACAGACTTATATTCAATAAGTTCGCATTTCGGCAGACAGGATTGCCTTCAAGCCTATATAAAAACCGCTGAATTTTTAATGAGTTCAGAAATAAAATTGAAGACAAATGCGTGGAAAATGATATGCCAATATTTCATTATGAATGAAGGTAAGAAAAGAATGGAAATCATTTAGACATATAAGTGGAAAAAGTGAAGATATGCTACCAGCCTAAGATGAAAACCATTAAATCAATGAGAATGCAAGGAAAACATATAAAAGATATCCAGTAAGTGTTGTTAGTCAACTCTTCAAATCTTGAAGAATTTCTTAAGGTATAGTTTACTCAAATTTTCTCTTTACTAGTAAAACATACACTGATAATACATCTGATTAATATCAAATTAAAGGTTAAACCATTATATCACTGAGATAATGCATGATACCAGCAAAATAAGAAGTTTACCTGAGGGTAACATTCACTGGAGGATTAAGATTTCCTTCAATCCTTGATAATGAATTGTTCCTGAAATCGCTGCATTTTGAATGTGAAAGTAAATAAAAGCAATTATGCAATGAGTTTGCAACGTGCATGAATATATGAGTTCTCCACTTTCAGATCTTACAGTGTAAGTACAGCGCTAGCATTCAATGACATGTTCTTCCATATGTTGGTAGGTACAGGACCGGTAAGGAAATTATTCTGAAGTGATCTGGCAATAAACCAGCATTTAGGTTCTAGACTCTGCAACTATATCCACATTAAATGCATCATTTCACAACATGAAGTAAAGAGCATTTTAATATGCATATAGAATCTCACAGGATCTGAAGTGAAGGAAGGTCCAAGAAACTTTCAGGAATAGATCCGTTTAGTTGGTTATCTGAAAGATCTCTGCAATTAACAATGAGTGATTTATTATTGGGAATTTGTCTTCCTTGCATTTTGGTAATCAATAGCAGGCGACAGTAAAAATTTGACAAGATTAACTTAACATTCAGTTCAATGATACAAATAGGATTTATTATTGAAGCAATTTTAACAAAACAATTGCAAATTAGCAATTTACTCACATGGTTGTCATATTATCAGAAAGCTTATTTGATGGTATGGGTCCACTAAGAAGATTCTGGCTGAGATCCCTGCCGCATGAATACAGAAACAAGACGAGAAGTCAAGTTAGGTGGCTGCAACAAGATGGAAATCATTGCATAAAACAAATTCAGCCCATGATGGAAACATAAAGACCGTATAATAATTTAAATGCTAACTCAGACATACAGGTAGCTAAGGTTCGTTATCCTGCTAAGATCAGGAACTGCTCCCTGCAAGCTGCAATTTCTAAGACTCCTGAAGGTCACCACAAGAATGATATAGAATCAGTACTCTTGAGTGACACAATGAACAGTAACCTTTGTCAGCATAAACATTGATATTATTTCAGTAACTAAGAAAATGTTTTATTAGCACTCACAACTTCACTAACATGGGAAAATTCTCATAAGAAGCTGGAATATTGGATCCGTTGAAGTTGTTGTTATCAAGCTGACTTCAGAGAGGAAGAAAACAAATGAGACATGCATCATGCATGCCTTATCAAGTATGCTAATTAAGACTTTGGTGAATGATTAACATTTAGTATGACAAGGAAAAAGGCAAAAAGCATAACATCAATAAGAAGTAAGTTAAACCTGGGAGATAATGGATCCATGACTAATCACATAATGAGGAAGATGAATAAAGAAAAAAAACATACAGTATGCGCAACTCGGGCAAGTTCGAGAAGTCTGGTGGAAGATATCCAGATAAGTTATTATTATCCAAGAGCCTGCAGAGAATTTGAAATTCTTATCCCAAATTTCTCAACAAAAACACATATATACACACACTGTACACCCTAACACACAACCATGAGAAAAAGTTGGTAGAAAAAAGTACATTTTGTACGATCTTACAAGTGAATCAAAGTGGATATCCTAGACAGCTCGGGGGGAATTTGGCCACTGAGTGAGTTGTTGTTGAAGTGGCTGCACATTACAAACAAGCCGATAAAAATGTAGAAAAGTGTTAATCTCCTTGTTAAGTTGAAATAGCATTTAGCTTGTTGATTCACTTACAGATGTCTCGCACTGCTCAAGTTAGCATATGTTTTTGGTATTTGACCAGAAATATTGTTCTGGTCTATTTGAAATCTATTCATATTTGAAAGATTGCCGAGTTCATCTGGCAAAGAACCTGATAAGTTGTTTCCATTCAAGAGTCTGCAAACATAATGGCACACAGAAAGTTAACACTAAAAAATTATTGGAACAACTTTCAATGAATTTCTGATCCATATTTGAAAAATAAATTCTTTGCTGGCTATAACTCACAGGAGTTCTAAGGTAGATATATGTCCTATCTCCTTGGGTATACTCCCTGTCATTTCATTCCACATGAAATCTCTTGCAGAAATTAAAAGAGAAAGTGTTAGCACCAATGCAAATTTATCAGGAATGGTTAACCTACACTTTCTTCTGCAACTCACAGTATTTTGAGATGAGAAAGTTGGCCGAGTTCAGGCGCTAAAGTTCCAGAGAGATTCATATTTTGAAGCTGACTGCATCGTTTCACACAAGGTAGTTAAAGATAACCTTGTGTACATGATCACGACTTTGTCTTATAATAAATAAAAAATGAATAATTCTGAGATGTAGAGCAAAGTAGATATGGAGAATGAAACTCACAGTTCCTCAACATGCAAGTATCCATCATTTCCAGGATGATCAGAACATTCGATTCCAGTCCAGTTGGATGTGCAGGGATCCCCCTTGTTCCAATTTCTGAGATGGTTCAGGCGATCCAACAATTGCTTCTTCACCGCAAGCAATGCATTAACTGCATTTTGGGAATTGAACATACATATACTGACTTGAAACTTGAAAGAATGCTAAGTAGTGTGATAATACGAGTAACTAATTATATTCCTTGCTGCATCTGTGGCTTCAAGTTCAACACCAGACAAATCAAAAGCAAATACGATTCACTCCCTCTATCTCATATTTTGCTTCCATCCATTTTACTTTCTGGAATCATTTTTCATGATTGCCATATAAAAATGGGAGAACTTTCAGACCAAAACATACTTAGATGTAGAACCAATAGAAATACAAATATAAATTAATCTTAAACAATAGTATTGTCTTGAAGCATACATAATCAGATAGAAGATAAATAAGTTGGATGCCAAGTGGGTGAAAATACCATTACTGTTATCTTGATGAATATAAATGTAATATCATAAGTAATCAAGATGAGCTAGCATGAAAAGGATACATAACTCATGGTGGGAAGAACTAGTAATTTGTTGAAGTCATAGGAAGAATAACTCTGACCTTGGGAAGGATCCGTATTAGCGGAGGCGGCAACAGCAAGCAGCGGGAGGAGACAACAACAGCACAGCCAAAGGGACAATAGGCATCCCCCTACTCGCATCATCTTTGTAACCTTTTGTCAACCTCAACTTCAAAAACTCAAACTTATGTTTGCAGAAACAAAAACTAGCAATACCCAAACCGAAAAAGAAATGAACTATTCTAACCGTCTCTTACTCTTTACTTATAGCATCAGCGAAAGGAAATAAATGGATAGCGTTTAGCTTGAAGAAGAGCAGCTGAAGCCCACGTGGCTTGCATAAAACACCAAATGAAATAATGAATGCTGATGGAGACGGAGATGGCTGTTCACTTTTCCTCATTGTCGTCATATTTGGTTCATCCTCTTTTCAGCAGTGAAATCATAACATTATAATGTATTTACCGAAAAATCACTAAATTTTTTTATTTACGTATTAAACATTGTTATAAAAAATATTACGGATGTAATATTTTTTGTGTCTTACAATAATGTGACTCCACGTATTAAAAGTCATTTTATTGCATGTGTTAGATTCGTAAATTTTTTTAAAACAGTTTTTAACATGTAATTCATTTTTATTAGGGTGATTTTAGTATAAAAACGTCATGAAATATTGAGGAAGTAAATGTGTTTTGTTTGTTGGGAAAAATAAAATTTAATTAATTAATCATTTTCATTTATTGTTTTCAGAAAAAAGTCATATAAACATAAATTATTAAAATAATAACTCAATTATCAAAATAAAACAAATTAAAAATATAATAAAAAATAATTTATTAAAAAATCAATTATAAAAATAAAACATATTAAAAATATTTAGTATAATTATAACTCATGTATTTTCAATTATTATATTAAAAATCAATCATAAATTATGATAAAATATTTTTTATTATTATCATCATCATCCACCAATTAATAGAGTATATATATGAGTTATAATTTAAAATTATCATTTATTCTGCTATTATTCAAATTAATTAAGAAAAATTATGGTAAAATGCTTCTAAAAGAAAAGTATAAATGCATACATAAAAATCAAAAGGTTTTTATTTCTTTTGTTTTACTCTCTAAACTTAAAACAAAATTCAATAAAAAAGAAGAAGGTAAAGCAAAAAAAAATATGACCTATATATTTAAAAAGTTCTTTTTAATATTAATTTTTAAAAAATAATAAATAAATATTAAATTCTAATTTTATTAAAAATTAATACACATTATTAACTGTTATTAAAAAATAATAATGAATGAATAATAATTCATTTGATTCCTCAATTGTAATTAAAAGTTTATTTGATTTTTTTTATATTATTAAATAATTGATTTTAAAATTCAAGAAGTTTTTTAAAAATATATGAAATTTATAATTTTTTAAATTATAAAATATTTCTTATTATTATCATTATCATATTTATTTTGTAAAAAAAATACTAGTTATAAAATTATTTATATTTTAAATTACTTACCCTCAAAGTTTTTCTATACTAGATAATACGTATAGGATTTTGAAATGATCAAAAATACATTAGAAAGTGACAAGTGATAATTGGTAGACATAATTATATTGTGTAATTTCATGTAAAAACTAAAATTTATCGAGTTATAAAATAATACGTAAAAGAATATTTAAAGATTTTAATGCATAAATTTTTTTTTCACACACAAAATGAATAAAGTTAATATTTTTACATAAAAATTAACTCTAACATAAATTAATTACCAGTTAAATACTATTTTAAAAAAATTACTAATATAACATGATGTGACTCCAGTTAATAAGACACGAATGATGATCATTGCGACTTTCTATAAAAAAAATGTTAAATTAGTAAAAAATAATTTAACAATGACACGTAAATAAAAAATTAAATGATTTTCGGTAAATATGCCAACAGCTGACGCTATTTAAGTTTTCATAACTATCTTATTTAAACAACAGTGCTTTCCCTCAATCCCACTTCACGTACATTTACTGACAAAAAATAAAAGAAAAATGGAGTTTAGTCTGTACGCGTGCTCGGAATCTGTCATCATTTGGCGACCAATAAATGCTTTGAATTGAAGGGTGCAACTTTTGACTTGACGTTACTGATAAACCATTACCTATATGAATATATGAATAGTGTGGCATTAGATGGTTTTTGAGATTTTTATTGGGTAAACTACTTAAATAGTTATAAATTGATCATTAACATGCTTATTTAAATAGTATAATTATACAAATAATTCATGTTATTTATATATTTTTTAATTTGATTCTAATTTTAATAAATTAAAATAAATTTACAAATCAAGAGGTGTCATATGTCATTGGTTACACATGTGTAACCCTCTGATTGAAAGAAAATAAAGCAACAAAAAAGCAAGTGAAAGGATTTGAACATAAAACCCTTGGGTGATATAATGCAAGCCAAATCATTGAGTTAAGACAACTATTTGATATATTTTGTACATCAAATAATATATATCTTGTATTTTAGTATGTAAATGATTTACTCAAAATTAATAATATGTTATATATCTTAAATTTTAAAATTATCTTTTTTTGTCTTAATTTATTAAATATATTTTATTTTAATGTAAAAATATATATTTTATTTTTATTCTTACTTAAAAAAATATTTTTTTTAAATATCTTAACTTGAAATATATTTAAATATTTTATTATTAATTTAATATATATTACTTTTATTTTAAATTAAAAAATATATACTATTTTATTCTTATCTTTACTTAAAAATATATTTTATTATTATTGTAAATTAAAAACATGTTTTATTATTATTTTAACTTTTAAAAATATATTAAAATATTATATTTTTTATTTAAAATTAATAGTAAAATATTTAAATATATTTTAAGTTAATATATTTAAAAATATATATATTTAAGTGATGATAAAGATAAAATATATATTTTTACATTGAAATATATTTAATAAATTAAGACAAAAATAAAAATATTTAATAAGTTAAAACAAAAATAAAGATAATTTTAAGTAAAACATTTACATACTAAGATACAAGATATATATTATTTGTTGTCCAAAATATATCAAACGTTTGCCTTGGGTCAATGGTTTGCCTTGGGTTATTTCTCTTAAGGGTTTTATGTTCGAATCCCACTACTTGTTTATTTGTTGCTCTATTTTCTTCCAACCTCTTTATTTTCTTTCAATCAGAGGGTGACACTGATTTTTACGGTCACCCTCTTATTGGTAAAAATAAATCTATTAAATTAAAATAAATTTAGTCTTTCAATCAAATGATGACATGTGTCATGACATGTATGTAGCTAATAACACATATCACATCTTGATTCGTAGGTAAATTTATTTTAATTTATTAAAATTATGATCAAATTGGAAGAATATATAAATAACATGGACTATTTGTGTAATTATACCATACAGGTAAGCCTCTTAACGGTTGTTCGGTCCACGTGTGTTTTCCGTCACAGCTGTTAACGTTGAGTGATCAATTTGTAATAAACGATAATGTTAGTGATCGATTTTTGACTTTTGAAACATCACTGGTAAAACAAAAACTTACCCAAACATTAATGATCATTTAATTAGTTTACCCTTTTTTTTAAGCTCTAGCTCCTGATCGGGGATTCTATCCTTTTTTAAATATTGATATCTAAAAATTCGAATTTATTAAAATTATAATTCGTATCCGTTCAAAATAAAATAAACTTTAATTTAATAAAAATTTCAGATCTAATATTTTATAACTTTATATAATATATTCTATACATCCTCTATATATTTATCAAAACATATATGATATATTTATCAATTGATCAGATCGATCAGATTAATTTTGTATACACCGGCATATTTTGTATTGTCATCCAACTTTTAATTCTAATATTTTAGTCATTAATGTTATATATTTTTATTCAATTTTAACCTTTATCGTCCAAAAATTAATATAGATGTTGACGAGAGATTTTTTTATTTTTTAATATTTTTAAATACTTTCTTTTTTGATACGTTTTTAATTATCGCCATATATTTATTATATTATTTTTTTATAATTTACATTCATTGAATTTTTTAGTCAAAGAAAATAATAATTAAATGCTTAACATCAAACAAAATAACTAATTAAATTATTAACATATCAACATTCTCTAGAGTTAATGGTTAAAAGTTGTCATTTAACATATCTCTTCTATTGTAGATTTGTGAGTTCAATACCCATAAAAGAACAAAATTCCTCTACCCCTCCCTTTAACTAAAAATTGTTCAAAAAATAAATAAATACTTCACGTGATAAATACATGTCCCTATTACTATGGTTGTTAACAACGTCACTCGATAATAATAATCGACGTAATCAAATAATCTAATTTATATTTTAAATTAATAAAAAATCAATTAATTATTTTCCATTATATATACTTTTTTATTTTATTTAATTTTAATTAATATTTTCAAGGATTTTGAGTTCGAATAGGGTATGTGTACACATTATCAATGGTTAAAAAAGATATTGAACATATACTATCTTATAATCAATCTAAACTATTCGAAGAAAATCGTGGTTTATGTATTAATTAAGAGTTAAAGGTTTTTATTATTGAATTTTGTTTTGACAAATAACATTTTAGTTTTAAATTTTATTGATAATTTCAATTTTTATATTGTCGGATTTAAAAAAGTTTAGCTTTGTATAAATAAATATATTATTATTTAAAAAAACATTTAATACGTATCATTTTATTGTATATTATCTTTTTATTTTAATTATTTTTTTTTCAATTTGATTTTCGTGGTGTAAAATAATATTACAATTAAATTAATCTCGTCGACAAGTGCCATCGACCTCTATAATATCGATAATAAATTAAAAACAAATATAAATTATATTTTATACTGAATTAAACACATAGTTTTAATTTATAGTTATTTTAAAAAAAGTTATTTTGTGGCACTATTATTTTTAATATCATTTCAAAATTATATAATATAGCTATAGTCTAATCATGATTTCTTTTTTTTTAATTTTCTTCGTTAAACTTACCAATTTATCTTAAAAGGACAATTTCTGAAATTTTTTGATTTAGTCCATGTACTATGAACTTTTATCTTCTTACAAATTGGTCCGATCCCAAATGTGCTTTATTTTTTTTCCGATTTTCGATACATAAAAATTTAATTTTTTA